AGCGGGGCGCCCAGGGTCCCGTAGCCGGGGTCCCCGTCCTCCTCCTCCTCCGCGTCCCCGTCCTCCGGCTCCGGGGTCCTGCCGGGGTCAGCGCGGTCAGAGGTCACGGCCCCGCCCCCGGGGTCAGCCCCCCAGTCCCTCTGTGCCCCCCCCCCGACGCCTGGCTTCTTCACGCCAGGCCTGGGGCTCGAACTCGGGGCCTGGCGCCGTCCCCCAGCTCCTTCCCCAGCCCACACAGGGGGCTCACCCGCCGTCCGCGCTGCCCCGGGAGCCCCGGGAGCCGCCCGGGGAAGCCGGGCGCGGCCTCGCCTGGTCCCGGTAGAGCGCCAGGAGCTCCCGCTTCTGCTGCACGTACTCCTCGGCCTTCAGCCTCTGCAGGGCGTCCTGCGAAGGAGCACTGGATGAGGAGTCCGCGTTCACTGAGCACCTACTGTGTGCTGAGCATTCAGTGATTTCTTCTCCCCCTCCAACAACGCTTGACTTTCCCCAGCCGAAGATAGGCAGCAAGAAGGCTAAGGAATTACTGTTATTATTGTTGTTATTGGTGCCAGTCCTGGGCTTTAGAACTCAGGGCCCCTGGGTGCAGTTCCTGAGCTTATCTTGCTCCAGGCTGGAGCTCTACCGCTTGAGCCACAGCTCCACCTCAGGCTTTCTCTGAGTAGTTTATTGGAGGTAAAGAGTCTCCTAGGGACTTTTCTGCCCGGGGCTGGCTTCAAATCATGATCCTCCAATCTCAGCCTCCTGGGTGGCTGGGGCCTGAGCCGCCTCCTCTCCAGCAAGCCTGGAAGAGGGCGGGGGGCTTCTCAGCTCAGGCAGGAGGGCCCCCCCAATCCTGAACTGAACTTGACCTCCAAGGGGTACTGCCCACCCTCCCCAGCCACAGCTGCTCCCCAAACCAGCCACGAATCAAGGACAGAGCCTTGTGCCCCAATGCCTTCCAGAATGTTCCATCTACCCCCACAGGGCAGCTCTCATGGTCTCAGTGGTTCCCACACGAAGGCTAGGCTAGACTCAGAGCGGGACTAACACAGCAAGAACACAGCATAGGGCTGGGCAGCGTGGCTCACACCCATCATCCCAGCTGCCCAGGGAGGCTGAGATCGGAGGATCGCCATAGGAAGCCAGCCCGGGGAAGGAAGGTCCGCGAGACTCCTGTGTCCAAAATATACCGGCAAAAGCCAGGACTGGAGGGGTGGCTCAAGTGGTAGAGCGCCAACCTTGAGCAAAAGAGTTTAAGGACAGCAGCACCCAGGCCCTGAGTTCAAGCCCCAGGACCGGCGCGCACACACATACACACACACACACCTGCTTTGCTCCTGGCCCTTCAGTACTTGTCACCAAGGAAGTAGTAGCCATCTTCCCTCCTGACTTCGCACCTGGCCCTGAGGAAAACCCACTCCGAGCTCTTTCCCACCATCTCCATTTCCAAGCCCTTCCAGCCACAGGTGAAAATGGGGGGGGGGCGTTCTGGACAACTTTCCTGCCCAGGCTGGCCTTGAACTGGGATCCTCCTAATCGCCACCGCCTGAGTAGCTGGAATTACAGGCAGGAGCCACTGCACCCTGGCCATGTCTCCTTGTTCTTGAATTGTTGCTTTTGTCACATAGACTTGCACAAACATGTGACTAGTCTGGGGGGGAGGTATGTATGCGTGTGTGTGTGTGTGTGCGTGTGTGTGCGCGTGTGTGTGTGTGTGTGTGTGTGTGCGCGTGCACGCATGCGCACCAGTCCTAGGGCTTTAATACAGGGCTTTACCATTTTGCTTTGCTTTTCCACTCAAGGCTGGCGCTCTACCCCCTGAGCCACAGCGCCACTTCCGGTTTTCTGGTGGTCCATGGGAGATCAGAGTCTCACGGACTTTCCTGCTCAGGCTGGCTTTGAACCGCGATCCTCAGATCTCAGCCTCCTGAGCAGCTGGGATGGCAGGCGGAGCCACCGATGCGGGGCTTCTTCTGTCTGAGGCGGGACTTCTCCTTTCTCTGCCTTTCAAATCCACCAGGTCTCTGTCTGTCTGATATCTGCATATCTGACATTTGCATATCCCACATTTGCATGTTCTGGATTTGCGTATCAATCACTCTGAGCTGATTGGCTGCCTTGGTGGCCCCTTGCTCTAGGTCTGTCCAACACTCAAGGGAATCTGCATCAAAGACCAAATTGACCAGCCGGGCACTGGGGCTCCTTCCTGCCATCCCAGCCACTCAGGAGTCCCAGCTCCGGGGCTCCCCCCCAGCCGGGCTGTGGGGTACCTGAGCCTTCTGTGTCTTCTCCAGCCAGCGCGAGCGGTGGGCCGGGCTGGGGCACTGGACCAGCAGGGCGCTGGCCACGCACTGCAGATCACTGAGGTGGATGAGCAGGAGGCTGTCTGAGGGGGAGGGGAGGCACTCTCAGGGCTGGGCCTCGGGCATGGGGGTCCCCGGGCCCCCCCACCCCCAGGGGGACGTACTGGGGTCCCGCAGCGGCCGGCACACCAGCTTGTCCAGCACGAGCGGCGGGCGGATGACCTTGGCCTTGTGGGTCTTGCGCTGTGGCTTGGTGACCAGGAGCAGGTCCGAGAAGAGGAAGAGGTACACGTCCAGCTGCGGGCCGGGGCAGGGGCAGGGGCGGGGGGCAGCGGTCAGCCGAGGCCCAGCCCACGGCCGGCCAGCAGCCCTGGGGGTGGGGCGCATGCGCGCACAGAAGGCTCCCACTGTACAGGCGGGGAGAGGGGCTGGCTCCAGGCCTCGGACCCCACCTCCTCCCCTCCCCTCCTCACCCCTCCCCTCCCTTTCCCTTCCCTCTCCTCCCCTCCCTTTTCTCCCTCTCTCCCTCCTTCC